TATATATACTACTGTACATCTGTGGCTACGTAGTACTATACAGTACATTCCCAGGATGCACAGTCGCACAGAGAAGCAGTGCGTACACAGCGAAGCTGTGTGTGTACCACATGAGTAGTACAGCCTCGGTTATTGCAGTAACCGGCTGTGCCGTTCCATATCTTGTGACGGCTGTGTTAGACAAGCTGTGTAAACCAGCGCCTGTTCAACACTTAGTGGGAGCGGCTTGCGAAGGAGTGGTGGGAGGGATTTGGTCATGCTTGACTTCCCCTTGGCCGCGCGTTTTGCCGCCATGTCCGCCATCTCGTTTCCCTCGACCCCAGTATGCCCCGGTACCCATCGGAGGGTGAAGACGGTGCGCGGGGCTACTTTGTCCTTGTCCAAAAGCTCTTGGACCCTGCGATGAAAGTAATCAGTGAGGTAGTGACTAGGGCGTGGACGTATCTGGGTTGATGCCTCGATTGACGACATATTGTCGAGCGCCACTGAGGGGCCTCGCACGGCCTGGCGTTCCTTTCGTAGCAGCTGCGTGCCCAGGATGGAGCCGACAATCTCTGCTTCATAGATCCCATGTTGCCTGTCCGTGCCGAGGTGGTAATAGAGGGTCTTGGGTCGGGACGACCCGGCCCTCAGGAGTACCGCTGATGCGCCGACCTTACCCCGCCTCTGCGAGCCATCCGAGTAGACCAGTATCTTGTGTCGTCGTGCCCACTCCTCGTCCTTGTCCAGTGCCTCGTCCTTTGAGCTCGCGATGTCGACCCAGTGTGCCGGAGTCCATGCAGGGTGATGTCGAACGGCTAGGACTTTTTCCATGCGCTGTGGGGTGTCGGGGGTTGTGTAGAGATGGAGGAGCTCATGTAGTTGCGAGCGATGTTTCCGGACATAGCGAGTAGCAGCGCGCTTGACGTGTGGCGACAGGGTGTTCATCCTCACTATCGTCCGTCATTATAAAGGTCTCATTCAAGTATTCGTGTGCAGACCAACACACTTTTCAAAATGTCTCCTTCGAGCTTCTCCCCGGCCAGCGCTTGTTCGAGGGCATGGATGGCTACTCATATATGCTGATCAGAACGTCGTATGATGACGCAATGATGTATGGTGAAGCACACATCTGTTTCTTTCTTAAGAACGCCTCGAGTGTGTCCCTCTGACTGTGACCCTGACCTTGCCTCTCACCTGTGCTGACTTTCGTTTCTTCGCAGGCATTCCTCCTTCCCGACGGTCCGCGTTGGCCACGACCTCCCACAGCTTCACGAAATCCGCTGTCTGAATGACTCTTTCGCTTGTCTGAGAATCAACCCCACGTATACGTAAATCCTCCATTTCACTTTCTTGTCGTGGCCTCTCACTTGTGTCCTCGTGCAAAGTCATCCCCCATCGTATCTCCCAAGCCCGGCACGCACAACATGTATCCTTCCAAGATCGCAATGTTGTCAACACCCCCTTCGCCGTTTGGGATCTTTCGACTCTTAGTAATTCGACATGCGAAGTTGGTTATGCCTGGGTTGTGATATCCCAGCACAGGGCACATGCCATGAGGATACTGGTTTATGACGTACCGGATGGACCTGAGCGGCGCTGGAAATGTGAATGCGCGCGACGCGTCCATCTCCGGGGAAGGGGGCTTGCGGGCATTCCGCTCTGTCTCTTTCTTGACTCACGCACTCGTCTCGTACAATCGTTTACAGTCCTTGTTGGAGGTTAGGGTGGCTTCGTCTTTGGGCGACATGCTGGTAAAAAGCACTCACCAGGCGGTCTCGATATAATATCCAGCGGACTGACGCGCTGTGGGCAAACATTCTCAGCTGGAGAAGAATTCGGTATCAGGATGTGAGCGTACGTGCATTGACCAGTACCATCCCCTCCAAGGCTCTCTTCATCCAAGTGCTCAAGGAGTCAGGCGTTTTCCACTTGAAGTTACGACAGGTGGACATTGCGCTGCAGAACACACGACGGCGCCCTCTGTCAATTCAGTAATCCAGTGGTGGTCCACTCTAATACTTTTCGTCCTTGGGTCGTCTGCTATCGACGTACCTCCCTGGTCCGTGACAATATCATAGCGCATGCCACGCCGGCGGGTGATTTGTGCGCATTAGGGAGGAGCCAGATGGACATAGTATGTACAGACCTCGAGAAAATTTTTCTACAAAAGTCTTGCTGAGGTCCTTAACGTCGACCATGAGCACACCTGTCTCGCCCACAGTGTCCGACCATCAGCCAAAAAATTAACCAATGGTTGTTCCAGTCCCAGGCGCTTAACCAGGCACGTGGTGTTCAGAGTAGACGCCAGGGGCGTGTTCAAGTTCACTTCACCCACCATCGCATTCGTTCCATATCGGCTACAACTTCGTTGGCCGCTCTTCATTGCCCAGATTGCTTTCACTGAGAAAGCCGTCTACCACAGTAAGTACCTCATGGCGATGGCTTCTTTCTTCGACTTGACATTGACATAGCCTGGTAACCTGTAGACAATGCCTCGCACCACCAAGTCTTCCCTAGTTGACCATAGGTTTCCCGCATTCTATGCATGCTATCTTCTCAAGAGTGTACGAACACCCCGCTCTACAGCGTAAGTGTCGATTGGAAGTCCGATCGCAAAATCACTCAATGTGCGTCCAATTGACAGGACTTACATAGGCAGTACTCCCAGCCCTCCAAGACGCATACGGTGAGCTTTCTAGGCAATCCGTCGTAGTCCAAGAGTACTTATTTCAGCTGAAGTCAGCACAACGGTATAATCTCTCAAGGGGCATGGAAGACAAAACAAAATCGTCCATGGGTCATGCAGATGATTGTCCACGGCTTCCCATCCAAGCTCGCTGCGCTACAGTTTGAATGGGCCTGGCAACATCCTGATATATCTCGTCACCTTCGCGATAACGACGGTCAGGCTGTGTTTGGTCACAGTCGCAAGCTCAAATTTTTACGTAACAACGTGAAGTGAGTAAATTTCCAATTGTGGTTCGAAACCACTTTCTGACCATAGGCCAGAGTCGCCAGGAGCATGGTCTCTTCGCATCCCTATAATACTTGGCCACTCAGTGTCAAGATCTTCACTGCTGAAGCTGAGAAGGCATGGATCATCGCAGGCAAGGCGAATGGGATGCCTCCTCTACCCATCGGGATTGAGGTAGCCACAGAATTCGAGGGAGTGGATGGAAAGTCAGGCATCACAGGTTCCGGTCGGACTGGACCGATAGACGTCACAGACGGTAGGCCTCACTACCTCAACATTGATCAAGAGACTTGTATCCATAGTCCCCTGTCGGCCAGCCCAATTCACCTCTGAGCACCTGCGCAAGGCATCTTCGATCTTCGTACCCGGCCGCGACCTTCGATGTTTGATCTGTCACGATGCTGTCCAACCCGATGCGGCAAGTTGATGTTCTCGTACATCGAACTTTGAACTCATTGGTATGACCAACACAGGATCCTTTAACCACGGCGCTCTGTCTGACATCGTCCTGCACGGCTGTGTCCCATCTCTCTTGCCTGTCACGCCAGTTTCTCGGACGTGAGGTCGCGTCCACGTCTGACGTGATTCCGAGGGGTGGTAAGTGCGATTCGTGCAACACCTACATACTCTGGGGCGATATCATACGAGGCTGTTATCGCCGCCGCTCGGGCGGAGAGACTCCAGAGCTCGAACAAGACGTGGACGACCTAGATGACGGAGTGGAAGACCGCAGGGGACGGCTTTTCGGTGCCCTCGAGGACGACGAGGGCACAACAGCTCCTCCCATACCCTCTCAATCTATCGCACCGCTCCAGACCAAGAAGCATACCAGGGCACGCGCTTCCCCACCGTCCACGTCTAAGGCTGCCCCATTCTCAACGTTATCACCGCATGAATTGAGCGACGAACGAGATCACTTCGATCTGTGCGATATCAGCAGTGACAGCTCTGATGAACAAGATCCCGACAACGAACTTCCGCAGTGGCACTCGTTCCACCCCTTCAAGACCGTCATGGCGATACAGGGAAGTGTGCCTCCCAAAGCTCTGTCCAACCACTCGCGTCATCAACTTCGCGATGGCGAAGATCTTAGTCGCCCACATGCACCCTCCCACACTGGAGCGGGCCACGGGACGCCGCCAACAGAGGAAGCCGCTGACGCCGAGAAAACAAGGTTCGATTTCACGTCAGCAGGGTCCTTCTTACTCTCACCTCCAAGTATCCTCATTTAGTCGCGAGAAGAAATCCCGCGGAGAGCATTCCAGAGAACAGGTCTCCAAGATGTCAAGGAAACCATACTCACCTGACACGGCAAGAACGCTTGCTGTCGATCCTCTTCTCACCCTTCTGCTAGTCCGAGAAACAGCAGCAAACGTTGTTCCTGACAGGGTGCCCTCCCGTCCACGCGCAAGGTCGAACATCGACGGTACTTGTGCTCCATCGGAGACAGCGAGGGAAGCATCAAGCAAGCCAAACCTGCGACCTTTTCCTGATCTGCCGCCGCTTTCACAACCACAGCGGATAACGACTGGCGAGAGGCGAGAAAACGGGGCTTCCGATAGTGAGGTTGTCGAGATGATGTCTGATTGATCATGGAGATGGGCCGTTCACTCGGAGCGCGGCGTACTCATAGAAGGATTGAATGAGACGGAGCTATGAGGTTCTTTGACATGTACGTTTGGCCTCTCTGATCTTGACTTCCACCTACAGTCGATCTGCGTGGCGCTTGTTGGCGTGCGGCGCATGGGTGAAGCCGATCTCATTGAGCGGAGAACAACTGCAGCGATTACTTCGGAATTACGGGCACTAACTATGTATGAATGTGCATTTTCTCACCTTCTCGTTCAGCGCGGCCGCTGGTCCGCCCGCCTCCATGTCACTACGCATTCATTCGTCCCCTAGACCACCTTACCGCCGACCCCCAGGCTTCAGAGCTAAATCGTTCACCTCGTGTGATTTTATCGCCCACCCTGACTACCGTCGCGACTTCTCACGGGCGCCCGGTTCTAAGAAAGGCGAGTCGTGTCCGTGGCGGTGGCGGCCCATTATTACTCACCCGCAGCGCGTTCGAACGAGCACGTCAATCTGATCCATTCCAAGCCGTTCTACTACGGGATCGGGAAGCTTTCCAAGGGCACAGCTCTGGGAAGGCACATTCGGCTGACGTTCTCGCTCGAGCCGGAGCATCATGACTGTGCAGCGTGCCTTCTACTTGATTGACGCCGCCACGGGTGAAGTTCAGGTAAACCTTCTGCTCCGCGCAGACACTGCCTACAGGCTATTGCCAAATCAGCATGCAGGTCATCAGGGTCTGACGTGCCCTGCGCCTTGTCTCTCGCTGGTGCGACCGTGAATGCCATCGTGAGGTTTCCCGCGAGCAGCCGCACGCGGAAGTGGGAGCGCGACGCCCTGGGAAATAGGTCTGGGACCTGTGCACGGTGCACCGTAGAGCGATTGCATGGGATGTCTGGACCGAGGAAGCTATGAATGTGTCTGCATGGGAATCAGCGTTGGTTCATTCATCAGAAAACGAGGCGTCATGGCCCTGCAGTGCCGTGACGCGTGCAGATGGCTATAAGCACGGCGTCGAGCGAAACGACGTCCCGGGCCCCCTTCTGTCACTCACGTATACATCTTTCTACGTACGGATTTTGTCTAGGTCGCGACGAGTCCTTGGGGGCTCCTCGTTCAGCCCATGGGATAGGCGTACGAATTCTGGTGAACCTTTGCGGCTACAACCTCCACCATCCATCGCTCAAGGAAACTGAACAAACGTGGAGCACTAGGGTTCACTGCGTTCCACATGCTGCCAGAATGCGTCATGGGAGTCGTACGTCTACCGATTCGACGACGCCGCTGACGAGGCGAAGGAGCACCTCTTCTTCTGTTGCAACTTCTTCGTATCCTTACCGACAGGCGTATCTTGAAGTTCGCGATGGTCGAGAATACATGACTATGCTTCCAGTATGTCACTCATGTAAATCTCCATCAAGTGCATGACTGACGATCTGCGGTCCCGGAAGCCCATGACTACCGAAGAGGACCTACTACAAGACGACATCATCAACGACCCCGCAGTGTATACTTCGTATGGCCCGTTTCCTGAACGCTCAAAACGCAAGAAACTCGTGCAGGCGATTGCAGTAAGTTCAGCAAATTACTGGCATAGCCTATGTCTTGATTGACAACATCGTAGAACTTCTTCAAGAGGTTGCGGTATAGTTTAGGGAGACGTCGTCCGACAGAAAGCGACGGATAAATTATGTTTCTATAATCACCAAATGCGTTGATTTCATTGATCTCTGCCAATACCCCCATAGGACGGAGATGCTACTGAGACCAAGAAATCTGACATGGGTGAGAAGCATAATGTTTCGCATCTGCTGCCCTTGCCTCTTTATCCTAGAAAATAGTGTTTTCCACGAGACATGGGAGTCTCAGACGGTAGGTCACCCCGGTTGGAGACGTCACGCCGAACACGCATCCTGTCGTACAGGAAGTATGTCGAACGGTCGCAAGACCGACTGATATTCGCACAATCATCGACAAGATCATACAGTAGAAGTAGATACGACAAAAAGGATCCAGAACGAGAGCATACCCAAATCGTACAATGCACATGAACGTCCTGGACATACGCTACGCAGCTCTTGAAGCTGCGATACAATACTGATCATAAAAAAGGGACTCAGGCGAAGGCTAGCGTCAAGCATCTACCAACATCGTTGCAATCCCTACCCTCACTAGAAGTGCAACTCAATCCTCGCCAGCTACGGAGTCATTCTCGCTTGTCACCCGGCTCTTCCTGCGGATATACTCGCTCTGCCTTGCCCTCTTCTTCACAGCGCTGCGCATAATCTCCGAGCCCGCACTGGCCCGCCCCGGCTTCACGCCTCCAAATGACCGCCGCGCGCCCATGCTCGAGCGCGTGCGTGCCCCCTTGGCCGACGGCGAGCCGAGAGATGAGCCCTGGGCAGCGGCAGCCCTCTGCGCGCCGAGCTTCGCAATGACCTTCGAGCGCGAGATGCGTGGTTTGCGTGCAACGAGCTGCTTCGGCTTCGGAGGGATTACTGCAGGACGGGGAATCTTAGATGGGGAGCTCACCGCGTCGCCCATGATCGCCGCGGCCGCGGAAGTGAGCGACGGGTGGTACACCGGAGATGCGGGGGACACAGAGGGAGCAGGACTGCTGGCAAAATTTGTGAGCGGCTGGCTGAATATCCTCGTGGGACGAGGGGAGGAGGGGCTGTGACTCTGGGGCGAGGTAATGGCCGCTTTGGAAGACGACGAAACCTGGGCGACACTCGTACGTTTCGGCTTCTCCTTCTGCGCCTCGGCCACTGACGGGAGGCCGGAGGTCCGCCCAATCGTCTTTGCGAGGGAACTGGCAGTCGGAGCGAGGAGAGAAGACGTGCGCTTGCGGAGGGAGGGCTGGTCCTTCATCTCGGGGGATTTGGCGTCCGCCTTGGATCTGGTGGATGCGAGAGTGTTGGTGCTCGCGAAGCTCCGACGAGTACCCATGGAAGAGACTGCCGTACTGCCGGACGTGACGCTTGTCCGCGTACCCATGGACGACACAGTGCTCGTTCTTGCCGTCTGGCGAGAAGTCGCGGTACCGTTTCCGGCATTTGTATCGCTTACCCGAGAGCGCGCAGTGCCTGCAATGCTACTTGGCCTTGAAGCAGCGGTCGCAGTAGACCTGATCGTGCCAGAAGGCACAGTGACGTTGAACGAAGGAATCGGAGACCGCGAGCGCGAGCTACCTGACTTCGTCGACGTGATCGTTGCCGAGTTCTTCGCATCCGTGGCAGGAGGGGGAGGCTTGAGCAGCTGGTTCGCCTGCGACCCAGACGCCTTCCTCGCGTTAGTCGCAAACGCAACGGAACTGGTTCCAGGAACCTTTGACGGCATATGAGCAGCGTTGGCCTTCCCGTTCTCGCCTTTCTTGTCCGCAGTCGCGACTGCGGGCGTCTGAGAAGCCTTCGGAACGGGGATGCTCGACGGTGGCGGATTGGCAGGAGCCGCCTTCGCCTTACTACCTCCGCCCATGTTCCAGACGTTACGCACGAGCGACTTCGCAGCGCCGAGGAAGCCGAACCGTGACTTAGCTTTCGCTGCAACATATCGTTGTGTCGTCAGGACTCGATCATCCAAAGAAGACAGATAGCCTAGAGACACACCTTGGGGCGCCCCAATGCTTGGCCGGCCCCGACTGCTCCGTCTCCTCGCTTTGGCGGCGTTGAGCTCCCGCTTGACGGCCTCGCGCTCCCTCATCTTCCTCTCCTCCTCTGCAGGTGGAAGAGGGGGCGCGAGGGACACGCGCTGCCCCGCGCGGTGCACGTCCCACCCCTCCGTGATGCGCATCCGCTTGCTCGACCGCCTCGCCCCCGCGTCGTCCTCCTCCTCTCCCTCTCCCTCCTCTTTCCCATCCTCGTCTTCTTGTTCCTCGTCGTCCTCGTCGTCCGCGCCAAATCCCCCAGGGACGGCTATCTTATTCTTGTTCCTGCGCGCGCCCGCGCTGATGACCCTCGCACCCGCCGCGCTGCTCCTTCTCTTCTGGCCCGCCGACGGCCGGCCCGACGCTCCGCGACCGAGCGCGTCTGACTTGCGCTTCGCCAGGCGGCGCGCCGCGTAGTGCGTCGCGATCGAGTCCATCTTGCTGAACTCGGCCTCGTGCACTTTCGCGAACCGATCCTGCATCTCCGCCGTACCTGCGGTGGTGCTCGTGAGCGTGAAAAGGGGCTGTGCGGTCTGATTAGAGGACGAGGCGGGCTTGTCCTTGTTCGCCTCGGCGAGGCGCCGGTGCATCTCCTCGAGGACGGACTTGGCGATGCCGTCGAACGCAGCATTCGATACGCCCGCCGCTGCCGTCGCCTCTCCGTTCTCTCCCTTCGCGGTGTCCTTCCCCTTCTTCACAGGGGATGGACGCCGCGGCAGCGGCGAACCGAACAAGAATGGTGCGCTGCGCGGGACTGATGTGCCGCGCGCAGGTGTAGGAGCTGCGCTGTCATCTGCAACCGGGGACGTAGTACGCTTGGAGGGAGAGAACATATCCGGCTGGTCGACCGGCCCTGGTGTGCTCGTTCCCTTACCCTGGCTCGTAGACGTCATGATGGGCTTCGCGGGGGTCGCAGCGGCCACGTGCATCCCCCCGGGCATGCCCTCTCCGCCGTCCTCGTCGAGCGGGAGCTTAGGGTACAGCCGACCCTCGCCCTCCACGCTCGGCGCGACAGAGCGCGGAGTGGCAGGCCACACGTTCAGCGTGCGCACCGTGCCCGGGGTGCCCGCGACGATGTCGAAATCCGTCTTCACGACGGGCAGCTTCGGCGGGCTCATGTTGTAGCTGAACGCGTAGTCGTCGCCCCGCGCGCTCTTGACCGCCGCGGGGTGCGACACGAGGCGGATCGTGCTCCGTACTCCGGCGGGGCCCAAGCGGACGCTCGAGCGCGCGGTGGACTTCGCGTCTCCATTCGCGTCGCTGTCGTTGTCGTTGTCTCCGTCGTCCGCGTCCGCGTCGAGGCCGAGGATGCTCGAGTCCGGGGTGGAGAACTTGAAGTGGTCCGTCTCGGGGAGCGAGTCCGAGGGCGGGATGTGGTCGTACGGGATGGCGTGCTCGGCGAGCGAGTCGCGTGCGCGCGTGCTGTTCCCGCCGCCAACGCCGAGGAGCTTGCCTGGGGAGAAGGAGGGCATCTTGCTAGGGCTGTTGATGGTGTTGTTGGCGGAGTCGGTGGTGTGAGTGTGGTGGGATGCTTTCGATGCGACGCGTTTGATGCCGAGCGAGGTGGCGAGTGCTTTGATGGAGGACGAGACGGAGGCTGGTGCGATGGGTGTCGTTAGTATATGAGGCTGCAAGCGAGGAAGTTAAAGGAGCGGCGAAAAGGTGAAACGGGAGCGCTTGGCGGACAAAGCATCGGGTCTTACTCCAGGAGACAGCCGAGGAACAGGAGACCGCCAGCTACGTTTCAGCACTGTCCTTGTACAGGGATCTGAACCATGCTGAACGGACGTAGGGGCATGGAACACCCAGACGCTGCGCACTACCTACATCACACCGCAACGGTCACACCGCGAGGGAGACAATATGCAACCCGCACGCACCTGAGTACAGTTGCCGCCTATGTGGATTGCGATGCAATCCGAACATTCAGAAACCCAGTCGCAGTGATACAAGTCGCGCCAGGATTCGAAGATGTCGGTAATCAACATCTCTCCAGCCATGCCGTCTTATACTCTCAGAGTCAACCTCGAAGACTGGGATCATGCGCCGTCACTTTCACTGTAGCGCGAGGTTGTTCCGCATCCCTACCACGTATCCTGTTGACAGCGGAGCGCCCCCTTATCGCATATAGCAAAGAGCTCGCGACGCCCTATCGCAGGACCCCGAAAGTAATATACGTAGGAATACTCACATTTAGACATATGAGTGCCAAACTCCCCATTCGAAACAGTCCTCAAACTGTTCTTGGAAGAAGCGGTGCCCATAGTTTCGTCAAGCTCCTCGATATCCTCCATGACGACCTCCCACTGCTCGCTCGGTCGCGGGATCGAGAACCGAGAGGTTAGCACTACGTCTTGCATGTCATAGTCGTCTCCGTTGGTAGCAGTATCAGGTACCGGTGCGGGTTCTGCATCCACGGGCATCCCTCCCGGTATATCCTGCACGTCTTCCATTCGGTCGTCCTCTTCCGGGGTAACGTCTTCAGACTGGTTCAGCTCCTCGGGCGGAAGCTCGAGAGCGCGCTGTTTGAGGCGTTCGATAAGTTCGGAGTTCTTGCCATTTGCCTTTATATGGTGTATCTTGCATAGCCTGACGAGCTGGTCGCGCTTGAGGGAGTGAAGGGCGGGCGAGTTGGATAGGATCTGGGTCGTGGTCGCCATTATGTCGGCATGCCAGTCGAGGAGATTAGGACCACAGGGCTTCAGCGACGGCTAACAGAAGGGACCGGTGCCAATTGAGCACTGATGTTACGCAGGAAAGAAAGCAAGGGGGAGCGGGGGAGATGAGCAAGACGGCGGCGGAAGACGGGGTTCGGGTTCAACTTCCAGCAACGGACGTCGGTTTCTCAACTGCTACCACGGCCACATGACCTTTGCAGTCGACGCGACGCGCGCCTCGGGCGCTCCGCCTTTCACGGGCCACTGGCACATGGCCTGCACGGGTTTTCGACCACACACATCCTGTCCTTGTCCTCTGCCCAATATAGACCGTACGAGGAGAACGCACACGAACATTTCATGCCCACGAAAAGACACCAACATGCTCAAGCCATGACTGGGCTTCGCTTGGCTAGAGGCGCTTCCGTGGTTGTGTGCGGTCAGTACCCCCTAGTACCTCACCTTATACTGATACCCACATCCCCGAACCACCGCTGACTGGTAGAGCACAAGACGCTGCAAAAAGGACCAAGTCTAGCATGCCTCATTGTGTCAGTGATTATCTCGACATATTTCACACCAGGATCTCCAAACCACAGCCCAAGATTCCTTGACGTGCGAGTGCTCTTAACAAGAGCCATCACAATCGTCTACAAGGGATGTGCCTATTGCCAAAGCAAACGCATAGGAGTCGCGTGCCCTCACCGTCTAACACAATGAAGACAGGCTCTCTTGGAATCAGATCTCCACTACGTAGTAGGCTGTTTACTGTGAAACAGGCTGGCAGGTGAGCATGTGCGCCTCTTCCACGCACTTTGAAATGACCACGTACTGGACACAGTTAACTCCACGCGTTCTCGGCATCCCACCCCGGGAGCATATAGGCATATGCAACCGAGTGCCACTCGACATGGATTTGTGGGGATGAGTTAGACGACGCTGATTGCGATTGATCGCATCGTGTCATTCACGGGCTTCACGATTCATATGGGGAAACGACGTCAAACTACGGCGGAACGCAACACACGCGCCCTTGAGCTGATACAAAGCTCCCGCGCGGAAACAACTAAAGCGCATCCAAACACCAGATCATGGCGGGTGGCCCAATGATGCCGCGTACGAAATGGTGCGTCACATGCTTGAACACGATTGCCCAAGTCTACAGCTTCGCCAGGGGATCCAGCCGAGACAAGGACAGAGTGCAAGGTGGCCATTCATTTACTTGCAATGGGCACTTGCCTGACGTCCACCATTCGTGCACTGCGCTGATCGATCCTTGTCAGGCTAGCCGTCTGCGCCATCGGAACCTTGCTCAGTAGGGCTTTGTCATGCAATTTTGGGGCAACAGATGGTGTTTACCTCATGCATGGTGAATCATGGAAGACAGCGCTGGTACTTCGATGGCCACAAAAGAATGCACAAGATAGAGACATCCGACGAGAGCCGAATTCTGGTACAAGGCCTTGGATCGAAAGCGGTGGGAAAGACTCACGGAGCACCAAGCGCGCACTACGCGGCCGCTTTGTGAGGGATGCCTCCGTCAAGGTGCTGCGATGCAAGGCTAGAATGGACTCGCTTTGGCGGGTTGCTAGTAACGTTGGATGGTGGAGGAAGCCAAGCGGATGGGCAATGCGCCCACAGCAAACTGCCAGGCGTGGAAGGTGCAGCCAAAGGCACGCCCACCGTGCCAAACACTCGCCCACGGCGTTTATGTCCGAGAAGGCAATTCTGCAATCGAGTTACGTAACGACGGCTCGTCTCCTGTTCGACTGCCCATCCGGCTTATAACCAGGCCTCTATGCGACTCCAGAGCCTCAGCACCTCCCGCTTCTCCATATTCCTGGAGCATCTCCTCACTCCTGGAGCATATCCTCACTCCTCCTAGCCTCTACAGCATCTGGACACAGACATGTCGACCATGACTCAGCCCATTGGGAAGCGCTTCCTCATGAGGAAGAGTTCAAACGCCGAGAACCTCCCGCCCCCGGCCTTCTCCAAGAAGGCAGACGCTCTCGTCTCGGCGCGCGAGGCCTCTCGCAGGCGGCGCGCACGCGTCGTCAGTGGCCACCTTCCTCTCAAGGCCAAGAAGGTCATCCAGAACATGCAGCGGCGCGCCAGCAAGACCACCCAGTTCGCGTCCAAGCCTGTCAAGGCTACCGTGGCCCCTGCGAAGACCTCCCTTCCTGCACTGTCCGCTCCTGCTGAAGTCATCGACGTGGACGCGCTACCCGATGCTGTCGCTACGCAAGCCGTTCCATCTGAGTCGCAGTTCAAGGGTGAGCCCACGCTCAACTTCCCGCGCTTTCTTCGCCGTCCGCCCCCGTCGGTGTGGCCCGTTCAGTTTGAACGCGAGAACATCGACGCGTGTCACCCTGACATCGCGGAGAACAAGGTACCGTTCGAGTACCTCCAAGACGCGTTGGAAGCCTATGGCAGTGTGTACGTATCTCGTTGCCATCCTCAACTGTCCTCGGCTAACGCGCCACTCCATAGGATGTGGGACATGGTGAAGGGTGCTCGCATCGACAGGTCCACCATGGGCCGTCGTTCTGCGCTTCCTGACGAGGTCAGTGTATTCGTCGCGGACCACATCGTCATGCGGACCCCGCCCGCCTATGTCAACGCGCCGACCTTCCCTACGCACGTCCTCGCCGTCTGGGAACTCCCCTTCGCGCATCCCGTCCGCCGTCCGTCTGCCGCAGCCGCGAGCGCGAAGCGCAAGGTCTCCCTCATCCCTATCCATAATCTCAACGCTTCCATGTTCTTTGCGAAGTGGTTCAAGCTTGTTCCGTCGAACTCCCCCGGGAAACGCGAGACCGACGCGTTCGGCGTGGCGGGTACGGAGCTCAAGCTCCCCGTCGTCCCTCTCGCGGTCCCGCACCCGGAGTCCTTCCTCCTGCTCCTTCAGACGGCGTACGTCCACAAGGTGTCTTTTCTCCTCGACCAGCTCGTCCCCGTCCAGAAGCCGGTCGTCGTCTTCCCCACGCCCGAGAACCCGCGCCCGCAGAACCCGCACTACATCGACGAGACGGGCCGGCGGCTCGCCGCGCGCTACACGCCCCAAGCGATTATTGAAATGATTGGCATGGTCATCGGTCTCTGGCAGAACGCCATCTACCTTGGCGCGAGCGACCGCCGGCTGTGGGTGGGGATCGACTGGAGCTACGACATGCTCCTGACGGGCCTCGGGTACGCGCTCGGGCACCCGGAGCTTGTGCCCCGCCCGGACCCGTCGCAGTACCGGTGGGCGCCCGTTCAGGTGCCGAAGGCGTGAGCGACGTCCTGGTCTCGATGTGCTCTGTGACTCCCCTTCGTTCTGATTTTGGTGCGGGCGGCTCCCGGCGACTCATGCAAATACTCGACTGTTCATCAACATCATATATGCATTACTACCCCCCATCGTCATATGCACTTATCTCCTTTGCCGTAATTACTCTATGCCCCATATGCCCATCACCCCAACGCACATATATGCTCTCCTGCGATACATCCTCCTTTTCGTCGCCGACTCCCCGCTTCGCACCGTATCTTTATTACTTTCTTGAAACGTTTGATTTGTTTGGAGAAGGTAGTCGAAGAATCAATATGTACCCTACTGTAACATAGAATGACATGACACCGTGTACTTGTTCATCTCTCCGGACTGGCTGCAAATGGAATCGCCTGAAAATGATTTGGACAAGACTGAAGCTACAACAGCAATGACGCGTATCGCGTGCTTTCGAACAGGACCCAGAGGCAAAGCAAACAGCTTGCGCAGCAGACGAACAAGAGTTTACTCCAAGCTGTGAACGTCGGAGGTGGCTCAGGAAAGCACACGTCCTTCTTTGCCTTCCACAGGGATGCATACGCAGCAGAGCTTTCCGGGCGGCCTGGCGCCCGAGTCGGCTCGAAACTCCTCATGTGCGCGGCGCAGCAGCCCCGGGCCTCCTCGTCGAAGGCGCAGTCGTACTCCGCCCACACGTCCCTGTTCGTGACGAGGATCTGCTCCACCCCATGCGCGTTCTGCAGCGTCAGCTCCTGCGCGTTCTCCGGGCAGCAGTACGTGAGCCGCTTGAACGCCCGCCCCAGCAACGCACGCCGTGCGCCCGCCTCGAAGAGCATGTGGGTCGCCGATCCCTGCGCGTCGAGATGCCGCGCGGAGGCCCCGAGGGTGATGTACGTGACGGAGGCGAGGCCGGGGCAGAGGACGGGCTCGGAGCGCGTGAGCGTCCACACGAGCTGGACGAGCGTCTCCCCCTCGACGTCGCGCACGACGAGCTCGGTGAGGTGCGGCATGTACGGGAGCAGGCGCGCCAACGAGTCCTGGTAGACGGAGTTGACGCGATGCGCGTCCCAGGGGCTTTGGATGCGCAGGATGCGCACGGACCCGAGGGCGCGCACCATTTGTGCGCGTAGGGGCGCGCGGGCGGCGAGGCCTGCGCTGCTGCCGGGCCTTTCTGGGGCAAGGCGTTGCGCGTACGCGAAGTGGATCGTCTGCGAGTTGCCGCTGCAGGCGTACGCCGTCCCCTGGTCGTCGATGCTGAGCGCTGAGGTGGGCGACGGCCCCAGAGTGGGCGGGAGGTAGAGAGGGAGGTCGCAGCAGGAGACCGTGTTTGCGTATGGCGCCTCCCGGAGCGAGACGGCGGCAGTTTTGGGGACGACAAGGTTGGCGAGCCACGCTTGCACCGCAATGTGAGCGGCCTCGCTCATCGGGTCGAATCTGAATAGCGGCAGCGCGATGCACAGTCGTCGCATGCATGGGAGTACGATCGGACTGAGGTCGGGGTGAACTGAGTGAGTGCGGCGGGATGTGGGATGGATGTGGAGGTGGAACGTTTGCAGTGCGGGAGCGTTGAGGAGGAAGTGTGCGAGCAACTCGAGTCTGATAGGGAAGCAGTCAAACTCGGATAGACTGGCGTGTTGGAGGGCGGGGAAATGGTCTGTGGGGAATATGGGCATGCGACTCGAGATTGACAGCGATCTGAGCGAGGCAGGACACTTGGAGCCGAAGAGCGACAGCGCAAGAGATGTGGTCCAAATCGGGCGGCGTCGAGGCCTCTTGATCACGATGGTCAAGCCCTCCAGTGAGTCAGCTAGAATCTGCAGGACCGCCTGCCAGGAATTAATGCGGGAATGGTCTTCGAGCTCAATGTATAGACCTCTGATCCGTACGTGCAAGTCGTACGACCTCCACTCCTCCAGGGGCGGTAATTCCTCCCTCTCGCCGGTGACGAAGATGGTGAGGGGGAGCCTACGAGAGCGACGCAAGAACGTTGCAGCAGTAGGCGAGGTTATGACTATGTCTGTCCAAAGAGTCGTGTACTGGAGTGCGATCTCCCGCCATTGGCGACTCACGTGAGTCACAACGATGAGAGAGCGATTGTCTGGTGGAACGAGCATGGCGCCGTCGTGCGCCTTCATACCGTCGAGATGACCTCGACGTACGAGATCGAATACGTCGGAGAGTACCTCCGGAGGGAGTCGACCCACAGGAGGGCTTTGGGTCCGATCTCGCTGAACATCCTTGACATCAATAGCATCGGGCATGCCCCAGGGACGTAGTGTTTCGACGTATGCAGAGTTAAGCTGTAAGCCGCCACGCTTTGCTTCAAGGGCAGAGAGCAACTTGTACGAACCGTTTGCATGTGTCTGTAGCTATTGTAGATGTCATGAGCTGCCGTCGGGAACTGTACGGATACAGTCGCTCACCTATCACGGGTCGATCTTCAAGGCGTTCTGGGCAGGGGATCAAGTGGTCAGGTCGTAGTAAAACAACTCGCGCCAGTGCGGGAGTAGAGTGGACGTTAGAAGGCACGATAGCAAGCTGCTATAGCTAGCACGTCTACCGCAGCACGTTCCTGCCTCTGACAGTGTGGTGACAGGTAGCTGGCAAAAAGGAGTCATGGCATAAAGTTCCAGCTATCTTCGCACATATGTCCTCCTTCCCATAGCTGTGCTGTATTCATAGAATATGTCCTTGAGTGAGACTGCAGCAACACTGAGAACGCTGGCAAGAGTTTGCTGACCGGCGGGCTGCTCGCGGGAATTAGGCGCGCCATCTGTCGAGCCACGTGGATTTTAAGTGCACACTCACTGACGTCATGGCCTCCCCGGGCGCCGGCCCGGATCGGGTCCCCAAGTAATACTGAGGCCCGAGGTTCATCTCATGTGGCAATGATCTCTCTTACTGCATGAACCTTCTTTCCGCGTTCCGATATCTGTGCTGTAGACCACTTGCGGCCCTGTGCAGAACTCCATGGAAGCTACTCATCATCCTTAAACTCGCTCCCCGCGTGTGTCATGAAATCGCGAGGGAAGGCTTGCAATAGACTCTTTCTGCAGGCGATTCAGAATCAGTGCGCTAGTCCAATTTGTAAGCACTCCAGGTTCAGAATCAGCGGGGCCCTCACGCTTAGTGCTCCGCAACGTCTCGCGTGTGTCATAATGGTTGTCCCTTGGCTTATACACTGGGTAGGCTCTTCTTAGCACTTGGGAAGCATGGGTCAAATTTCCTTCATGCGGTAAACTGGTATGGGAGGTTGACTCTTTGAATTCTTGCCTACCGTAGTGTACGACAAAGGGTTTCTGAGACGCCTATTGGGGCGGTAAAGGCCATGTCCCACAGCCCCACAGCCCCACTGGTTCAGATATCACCAAGATTTGGTCTGGTTCTGAACCGCTTGCAGAAAGAGTCTAATGACGCGAATCCCAACGTAACTACAGCAGTAGCAGTATTCAACGCTGGAGCTGTGGTTCCGAAGGTGATCAAAGCGAAAGGTACTCCTTCAACGCACCCTCATCGGACTTCGCGAGTCACGGATGTTGACTTGAGCCGAACTTCGCGGCATCGCGTGCAGGCTGACGTCGACAACGAATGGATGGATGTCCTGTTACGCTATCCACAGTGCCCATTCTCCTGCCCTCTAGGGCCCTTGGTGCATTGCGCTCCCTTGGCGATGAGACAAGAGAGGGTCAGTTCTGCAACATTGCGTATGCAAGGATGCTATCTATCCCGAGACGTCGGGGCCGATGTCCCACTCGCAAGGATCACAAGACATGACGCAACTCCATGACATACATACATCTTAGCCATCAGATCTGACGATTATCTATGAACGCTGTTCAGGACGACGTTAATTCTGGGGTGGCCCCCTGGATCCTTAGCGAACAGATTAGCTTGGGCCCCTACTACGTGGACGACAATGCTGCTCGCAGCTGCCAGCGCAGGATACTACACAATCCTGGTGCGAAGTCGAGAGTTTTCCTTGTTCGAAGAAGCCAGGAGTCTTTGCATGCGTCGCGCGAAAGGTGAGTGAGCATTGATCTCCAGATTGAGTCGATCAAATCGTGGTTCGCGTGCTGGGATATGCTGCGCAGCGGAACTCGATCATCTCCCTTGCATAATTACAGAATCTGATTCCAGAAGATCTTTGCTGACGTCTTTGGCGAATGCCGCTGGGATGCAGGATCGCACGACGTGTTGGAGCGAGTCTCAGCTCCGGGAGCAGGCCGACATATGTACCTCTGCTCTGCTCTCCCATCTGGCCATTGCCTGCCTTCATTTCAACGGTGACACCCATATTGCCCCACCCAACAGGCCAGGCTCCCAGAATACTATCACGTAAGTACGGTATCACGGTGTGTGACGCGATTTATATGAATCTTTCCTTCTTGGCCTCGCCAAGGCAGGTCAAATCCAATGGAGGACATCCCACGTCCGTTTTCGCCTGAGTATGTCCCACAACCGCTCAACCCCTCGCCGTTCCACACGCGTTTCACCAACCCTCAACGCGTCCCCACACCAGCGGTTTTGCCTGAACGATCTGGTAGTCACCTTTACTTGTCAACGGTTTCTCAGCCTGTTCAAGAACCCATCCAGTGCGTATTTTCGCTTCTGCTCTGAACGATACAGAGGTCGGCGCGTAGAGCACAAGGCTGACGATTCGTTAGTATCATCCACGATTTCTACAACGTCTCTCCAATTGCCTTCCACTTTGCGCCGAATGGGAGCCTCCCTCGAACGGTAGAGCTACCTCTCATCAGCGAAGCCGAGACTCGACCAACGCACGCGCTTGCGATTCTCAGCAGCACAATCCCGTCCTCGAGCAACAAGCCGTACACCTCTCTTCGGCTAGACACGTTCCCCTCTGCGCCTCCGTCAGCCTCATTGCTCGACCGCCCTCGAGATCACCAACCCTATCTGATTCCCATCGATGCGTCAACGTTCTTCCTCAACTTCGGACACGATGTGGCGCGGTCTCTCGGCGCGCTGCTGACAAGCAGACCAGCCAAGTCGCAGTCTCCACCCATCCGCCGGGATCGCGAGAACGGCACGCGCTTCGTTACCCTCCCCGTCATCCCGCTCCATGTCCCCCATCCTCCCAGCCTCCCTCACGTGTTGCTGTTCGGACAAGGCATCCCTTTACCGAAAACTCCCTCGCCTCCTGCCCAATCCGATCCCCCCTCTTCTCCGCGGTCGGCTTCCGACTCTGGCAGAATCGCAAGCCCGAGCATGCTCGCTACCTACCTGCTCCCCGTCTCCGCCATCGAGGAGTTCCCCTCGTCCCCTGCGATGGCGGCCATCATGGCACGGCAATGCAGCAGCGAGGAGCTCGCGACGCGTGTCGCATTCAACCACGGCATATGGCGGAACACCCTGCTTCTCGCACCCACGGATGCCGCCCTCGAGGATCTCGTCCGGATAGCGTGGAATGTCACGATTGAGGCGCAACGGCTGCAGCGGCAGGGCGACGCGGCGAGCGCGCGGAGCCTGTCCCCTTCACTCGCTCCTTCTCTTACTCCTGCCGCCAGGCGTCCTACGCCGGTAGTCGTCACCTCGACAACAGACCACGGCCCTACGAAGGACGCGGACCGGGATGGAGGGCGTAACTCGGTCACCTCCCCACGTCCATCCGCTTTCCCAACCATCAACAAACCGGCCTCGACGGCGCATGGCGCCGGAGAAAATGCTAAGGCGATTCCCGAGTTGATTGTCCCAGAGCTCATGCAGAACGTCTCGAGCGAAGCGGAAGAGGAACGTCCGCGCGTGGCCAAGCGGACGAGTCTACCCCGTACGGTTCCAGTCGCAGCCGTCTCGTACTCGGTGCACAACCCAGCAGCCAGACCTCCCGTCGATGGCTCATACATCGCCGTGTCCAGTCCCACCTGCGGCGCGCGGAGCTCGCATGCCGCCACGCCCAAAACGGCTGCCCGTCTGCCCGTGGTCGAAGTCGACTATCCGGTTGCATTCGATACGCCGCTCTCGAAGGCCCGGTGTGCTTTCGCCCATCATTTGTCGGGAGGAGATAATGCCCTAATGGCTCCGCTGTCGGCGCTCAAGAGCTCGAGCGGTCGAAGAGGCGATCGGAGTTAGGAGCTTTAATATTTGTGTCGTCCACATACTCCCGGCCGCCTGCTTCGCTTCGGCCTGCATGAGAGTCTATGCAGCGACCGTCCTTCGAAGCTTCGACAGCGTTTCATACTCACTCCCCATACGACATAGTACGGTCACAGTTCTCACTTCCTGATACGACCACTTTGCTTCGAGACGTAAAATGCCCACATGCCGCTGACTGCTGTTTCGGACTTGTGTCCCACTTGTGTATCGATAGACGTTCCCTTTCAACGTGCTTCTCCCATCTCACATCAGTGCAGACGCAATACCACTCTAGATATTCTTTCGTCCAAGCAAACCTTCATATAACACAGTCAGCGGGCGCAGCCCTTGAGCCGTAGAGCATCGCATGAAATTATATTGTCAGGGAATGATCATACAACATATTCTCATCTCACCAGTAGTACAGGCTTCTATGGCTACAAATATACCTGCTTCATGCCTAGTCATCTGTAAAGCACGCGAACGGCCCGTTGGTATGTGCGTACGCGCATACATGGTGTCCGTCGTGCCACGGATAAAGTGCACAGTCTGTGCTCACCCCTTCGCCGTCGCTCTCTCGAGACTGGCGCGCGGTTGGGAATATTCCCGGCCTAGAGGAAGCGCGAAGGCTTGAGCTTGTCGAGGTTCGCGCACTTGATCTTCCCGTCCATCACTAACTCAGAGACCGCCTTCGCTGTCCCGGGCGCGTTGCAGATTCCCTGAGAAGGATGAAATGTGAGTCACTCTCTTTCCCGGACATCACGCCCCGCATGTCTGGTATGCCCAATCCAACACCTTGAGCAGCCGGAGGTAGGATGATCGCACTCACCCAGCACGTATGCCCGGTCGCGACGATCAAGCCCCTCGCGACCGAGTCCGCCGCACCCACGATGGGTCCGCCCCCGGAGCTCACGACGGGGAGGAAGCACGCCTGCCGCCTGTCGACCCTCCCCTCCCGGAGCTCTGGCGATATGCTCGCGACGTGCTCGCGGATGCTCTCGCATGCGTCCTCGTCCACCGCGACGTCGTCCACCGTCTCGGGCACGGGCGAGTCGTCTCCCGGGCCGCAGCAGTACACCTCGTTCGTCGGGCGCGCGTAGATCTCGGGGCTGACGTTGCGCGGGCCGCTGGACGCGACGCCCGAGGGGAGGGAGATCTCGGTGAAGAGCACGTACGGCGCGATCGTCGTCCCCTCCTTCGGGACGATTGTGATGCTGTGCGCGCGGGTGCCCGCGATGGGGAGCGAGGGGACGAGCTTGGGCGACCACGCGCCCCCGGCGAGGATGACATGCGTCGCGAGGAGGGTCTGGGGCTCCGCGCCGGGGTTGGAGTTGGAGGGCGTGTAGGTGACCCCGGTGACTTGCGGGCTCGAGCCCTTCGAGTTGTCGACGTTAATGGAGGTGACTTTGCCGGAGACGTACTCGACACCCTTGTCTTTGGCGAGCTCCATCATACTGGTCGTGAAGAGGTACGGTTGCACCTGCGCGGTCGCGCCGAAGGGCGCCATGGGCGAGTAGGACTCGGTGAGCGACCGTTTGACCCAGTTGAGGTCTTTGGGCAGCCCCGAGCGGGCGTGCGCGTCCTTCGAGGCGTCCGACTCCGACTCCAGCCCCAACGTCTTCTCCAGACTCTTCCGCCTCCCCCCTGCGCCCGCGCCCGTGCCCGAGTCCTCGGCCGCCTCCCCGCGCCCCTCCCAGCTCCCGCAGTGGACCATCCGCCAGCCCCAGCGCTTCTCTCCGTCGTGCTCGCTCGCGAGGCGGACGTGTTCTGCGAAGGAGACGTTGACGAGCTCCTTGGGATAGGCCCACTTTGCGACGAGCCCGCCTGCCTTGCCTGACGCGCCTTGTGCGACGCCCGCTTTTGAGGCCTCTATGAGGGTGATCTTGGTGGACGAGGCGGCGAAGCGTGGATGTGAGGCGAGGTAGAAGGCGGTGGTGCAGCCGATGATGCCGCCACCGATGACAACGATGTTCTTCATGTCTGAGGAGCGCGACATGGTGGGCGAGCGCATGGATCTGTAAGACAGAAATGAACGTATTCCAGTGAGAGGTGGTGGTCGCCGTCGGCGTCGACCTCAACGCTGCTATAATAGCCTACTCACTGACAGAAACGGACTCTCGGGCCGCCTACTCCCGATGACATCATCTGGACCGTGCATGTCCGAGCCTCGGCTGCAGTCCTAGTAGAGTACTTATAATCTGCGGTTTCTCGACGATCAAGGGAACCCACCGAGATGGCGTACGGCAAGAGCCCTGAGGGATACAATCAATGTATTCTCACCTCTGTCTACAATGAAAAGACTCACCAACTCCAGCGTTGCACCGATCCCAAATGAAAGCTTTTCCTGTGTCTTAGCATCGTTACTCTGTCAATTAGTGGTAGTATTCTATAGCGTCCTGCTGTGCCATCTCCTCTTCATAAGGGGTACTGATCGGCCTCTCCAAGTGTCTAGGATTTCTAGATGTGACAAGGCACATTGGCACATTCACATCTGGCGCTTATTAAGCCGAAACGGATTGTGTGCATATAACCGACGCGTCCCTCGTCATTTGAACCTCAACCGCACCATTCAGCCGAAGGCCGTTGACATTCCTTCAACCCTAACTTCTGCTCTTCAATTTTTTGCCCTGCACCGTTACTATGGGAGACGCTGCGGGCCTCAAGCAGCAAGGGAACGAGCTGTTCAAGGCAGGCAACTTCGTCAAGTAAGTTTCTATGCCACTCCGCCCCTTCTGCAGAAATCTTATAGGCTTCGCATCAGGGCAGTAGAATTGTACTCTAAGGTGAATTCTCCATACATGAGTCAATCAGCCACCTTATCCTGCTATCATGGAGAGCCCAAGCGATGCTGAGCCACTGTACGGCTTGGAGATCCCAACACCACCAGAAGCCGTCTCTGCGAGAGTACAAGAGAGCCCCGCACCGAGCCCCGTTAACTTGCCCTGGCATTGTCATACTTACGATGTGCTCTAGGCTGAGAGGGCTGACCCTCGTGATCCCGTCTATCCGTCGAACCTCAGTGCAGCCCTCTACGAGACAGGTGACTATGCGGGATGCGTCGATGCGGTGCTGCGCTCTTGGGACCTCCTGAAAGACAAGGATGACGCAAAGCCAGACTTGATAAGGAGGCTCTCGATGCGCCTCGCCAGGTCGCTCTGCCATGGAGTTCGCGCTGGTACCATCACGCAAGACGTCCTCACAAAGCACAAAGAGGACATCATGCTCCTGCAAGAAGCCGCTGCGGAGTGCCCTACCAGTGCTGCTACTGGTGGAGAGCATGCACACGTTTGGGAAGACTGGGAGACGGTGAAGCTCGAGATCGATGACTATGCGCAGAAAGCGGACACGTGCCTCGACAAATTGTCTCGCTTGCCTCTGTTCTGTAAGCCTCTGTGAGTTTTTTTCTCTATAGAAACCTTTCGCGGGGAGATTCACGAGGCTTCCTATTCCAGAGATCACGCGAAAGAGTTCTTCTCCGTAAGTTTTATCCTGACGTTTCAAGATTGATGACTTGACATCGCAGAAAGATGGGCCATGACCAGGTCATAGACCTCGTACATGGATGGGGCCCACAGGATGCCTATCCTTTGTATCTAGACAGACTACCCGCAGATCAGCTCTCGGAGGTCGCATTTCTCTTCGGGGGTGTCGGAGATGGTAACACTACCCTCTTCTCTTCTTCTGGCTCCCATCTCAACAAACCGCTGTAGGTCGGCATGTCCTTGGAACCCTGTCCGGGCTGTACGAGGCCTACAAGAAGCTGCCAGAAGCCAAGCGCGCCAATTGCAGGGCGCATCTGACGCTGCTCGACATTCACGATGGCACTATGGCGCGGAACCTCTGTTTGCTGATGCTCCTCGACCAACTCAATCGCGCTACGGATCCCATCGATAGGGCAGAGATCAACGCGACGTTGATGTACATGTTCTGCGGTGCAGTCATGCCCTCGTACTGCTACGACAGGCAAGCTCATGTTCTCGATGTAATTAACGAGCGGGTGCACTGAGTACACACTCGTCAGGCTGATGGCAGTCATCGACACCCTGCGCACGCGGCTCACCGAGCACCCGCCGGGTCAGCTCGCGTGGTTGCACGTTGTGTCTGACACCATCCCGGCGGTGGTCGCGATCCTCGACTTCTGGGCGAAGACGACCAAGTCCACGCGCAAGATGCTCGCCGCACACGAGTGTCTGAACCCCTCAGAAGACCCGAGCATGTTCGACGTGTCGTCGATCCCCGGCGCGAATCCTGACTTCCAGAAGGTGATCAACCAGAACATGAGCGCCGAGCGGGAGATGTTCAAGCAGGTGCTCCTCAATATGCCCGAGGAACAGCTTCTGAAGCTGCCCCTGCCTGGGGCACCCGAACAAGGGTCGCTGAGCGCTAAACGGGCGTTTGTTCGGGAATTTGCTGACGAGTTGGCTGATGATTTCATGAAATCGTTCGGGGGAGGGAGGATCCCGATGTACGAGGAGAGTTGGTACAGAATCATGAAGGTTTTCCTCCCGCCGCCGGCACTGTGCAATAGGCACCCCGGCTTCGACGAGTCGTTCTCCAAGGATCGTAAACTGGAACCAATCCCTCCAGCGCTGGAGCGCAAGGTCAGGATTGTGCTGCTTGCTGCTCGTGCCATGTCAACAGAGGGTCAATTTTGCTGCCTGCATTCACAGATCATGAAGCATGTCGAGGCCGAATGGAAGGCGAACATTTCCCTATTTGTGAGCGCCTGCGGTCCAGCTCATGTGAGATGGACCAAATTGACTGCGACTACAGGACTTCAACTACGCCCACCCACGATACTACCCAGACGGGGACGGGTTTCCGAATCTGAAACTCAACGTCTTTGAGATCGTCTCTGCAATGGACACTTTCAACCGCCGTAATGAACGCGAATACAAAAAGTCTGTCGGCGTCGGCAAGGACGGCAAAAAGCTACTTGCCTGGCAGGTCTGCGACGCGTTCTTCGGGGAGGCCGCCGCAGCACTCAAGGGCTTGGAATCTTGTATTACGCTTGAACTTATCTGCGGCGGTCTGTCAGAGGAGCTGGCGAAGATACACTTCAAGGGTGATCTGACTCGGCCCAAGGATTTCCCACGGAAGTACACAAGGATGTGGCTGAGCAATGTCCCGTAAGTGGTCCGACGGGTAGCTCTATGTCCGACGCACTGAGCAGCTATCGTGTATCTCAGGGATTACACTCATGGGCCAATGAACATGATTTTGTATGTCGTGCCTAATCTGCAAGAGCATCCTCAAGCGGCGGTTGCTTCCAACTGCCTTCTCAACACCGGCGCGTGGACCAACGATGCAGAATTCGTCCACACGTGAGTGGGTTGTCATACGTATATTATTGAAACCCAGACCGACAGTGCTGAATATATTCCAGTTACACCTTGCTTCTCCCCGATGAAGTTCCACGCTACTTAGGCTGTCCGATCAGAGTATGCCAGCCCGTCATGGGCGTGCTCGTCCTCGGTTCGCAGCCTCTCCCACGTCCACTCTCAGAGCTTGCGACGCGCGATGAGCTCACTACCTGGCTCACTCGTACCCTATTCAACACGTTCCTTTCTGGCTTCTCCGGCACACGCCCGACCCAAATACGCCTGCCCCATAACCTGGTCGCCTTCTTCGGCCTTCTGATGTACCTGCACCGTGTCGGATACCCGGGCCACTGGCTCTCGGACTTCCTCGCCCGCGTTCTCAACGGGCGCATGGTGTCTGACGTCGTCCCCTACCGGAAGAAGTACCCGATCCCCGTCACCGACCGCCATCGTCGCACCAAGGCTCGGCAGGTCCGCACCGACCCGTGGCTCGTCGAGTTCGAGAGCATCATCGCGACAGCGTACTACGCCATCCCCTTCCCCGTCGCCGGGGCCCTTCCTGCTGATTTCTCGCGCGCCAGCCAAGACATCGTGGTGTGGGAGGTGCGCGTCCAGCCTCCTGCGGACTTCTGGCACCACCCGTGCATGCAGTACAGTACCCCGGACGAGCCCCGGACGCACCTGCTGTTCTACAGGCCAGACCTGGTTTCGTACAGGAAGGCCATCGACGAGATCGAGAAGATATTCGAGGGCGATCCTTCGCCGGCGCCCGGCACATTCTTTGTGCTCACTGCGCAGGAGCATGTCCAGTACGACGAGAGCATCCGATTCAGGCTGAGCAAGAGGCGGGTCGACAGGATGAGGAATGAGAAGTGGAACATGGTGGCGTACCGCAACGACAGCGGCCAACAAGGTGAAGATCCACACCGTCCGTTCGGAGCAAGCTTTCATTCATTGTTTGTACACCAACAGCTTCGAGACCCGTGCCGATCCAGAACTGGGCGATGGTTGGCGCGAGGTCCCAGTAGATGATCAATCAGCCTTCCATGAGCGTAGAGATGATCACTCCCGCGTCGCGTGGTTGCGGGCGACAGAAGTCAATATCATGTTTATCTGGCACCTCCATATATTCAGCGTATTATCGTACAGTATCTTCCACTATCTTCGAACGCCCGATCCAAGCATAGTCCCCCAGGTCTCGCTCTCCTTGCCAGCCTCTCCGTACATCAGCGACGCATAGTAGACCGAAGATCGGACAACTCCGGGGAGTAAATACCATAAACATGACGTGAGCAAAAGGGACGAAAGCACAATACACTAGACGAGGGCAACACGAAACACGGACGCCCTCCTACGAGGCCGCCGCGACCTTCTCCTTGATGCTGTCCACGACAGCGGGCTCCGCGAGCGTGCTGAGGTCGCCGAGCTGGTCGCCCTCGCCCGCGACGATCTTGCGGAGCACGCGGCGCATGATCTGCGTTCGTGCGTCGTCCGCATCCCGGTCAGCACCGAGACCTCGCCAGACACCCGCGCAGACGTCCACGCACCTTTCCGGACCGCGTCTTGGGCAGGTCCGAGACGATGAAGATCTTCTTGGGCGCGGCGAAGGGGCCGATGACCTTGCGGACCTGGAGGGTGAGCTCCTTGAGGAGCCCGCTCTCGTCCGTGCCGTCGAACTTGAACTCGGGCTTGAGCGTCGCGAACGCGTACACGGCCTGTCCGGTCAGCTCGTCGGCGGTGCCCACGACTGTCAGACGAGCGCGGAGGGACGAAGTCAGCGGACGGTTGCGGAGAGCGCGGGGTTAATGCGGGGTGGGCAAGGACGCACCTGCGGTCTCGGCGATGCCAGCGTGCGTGATGAGCGCAGACTCGATCTCCGCCGTGGACAGACGGTGTCCGGAGACGTTGATGACATCTGCAGTAAAAATGAACGCGCGAAGCAGAACGTCAATGTTCCATTCAGAATCCCGAGCGAAACGGAGAGGCGACAGCACGTACCGTCGACGCGACCCTTGATCCAGATGTACCCATGCTCGTCGCGCGCCGCGCCGTCGCCCGTGTAGAAGTAGCCAGGATACGGCTTCATGTACGTCTCCAGATACCGATTGTGGTCCTGGTACACGGTGCGCGCGATGGACGGCCACGGCGTCTTGAGGACGAGCACGCCCTCGACGCTGTTGCCCTCGAGCTCCTTGCCCGTCTGCGGGTCGAGGATGGCGGGCTCGATGCCGAAGAAGGGCACCGTCGCCGAGCCGGGCTTGGTCTCGATCGCGCCCGGGAAGGGCGTCACGACGATCGAGCCCGTCTCCGTCTGCCAGAAGGTGTCGACGATCGCGCACTGCCGCCGCCCGACGTGGTCGTTGTACCAGTGCCACGCCTCCGGGTTGATCGGCTCGCCCACCGAGCCCAGCACGCGCAGCGACCCCAGGTCGTGCTCCTGCACGTGGTGCTCCCCGAGGCGGCGCAGGAGGCGGATCGCGGTCGGCGCAGAGTAGAAGTGCGTGAGCTTGTGCTTGTCCACCGTCTGCCAGTAGCGCGCCGGCGTCGGGTACACCGGCGTCGACTCGAACACGGTCGTCGTGACGCCGTTCGCGAGCGGCCCGTAGACGATGTAGGTGTGGCCGGTGATCCAGCCGATGTCGGCCATGCACGCGAAGCGGTCGTCTGGGTGCACGTCGAAGACGTACTTCACGGTCAGGGCGGCGCCCAGGAGGTAGCCACCTGTCGTGTGCACGACACCCTTGGGCTTACCGGTCGAGCCGGAAGTCTATGGTGAACGCATTTGGCGCTGCAGGACGCGCATAGCCATAGGATGCACTCACGTAGAGAATGAACAACGGGTCCTCAGCCGACATCACTTCGGGGGGACAGAAGCGGGGAACCTTCGCGATCTCCTCGTGCCACCACTTGTCGCGGCCAGGCGTCCAGGCCACTTCGCTGCCAGTGCGCTTGAGGACGAGGACGTGCTCCACGAGCGGGCACTCCTTGATGGCCGCATCCGCGATCGCCTTCGTCGCGATCGTCTTGCCTCCTCGACGGCCCTCGTCGGACGTGATGAGCACGCGCGACTTGCAGTCCTGCACACGGTCGCGGAGCGACTCCGCAGAGAAGCCCGCGAACACGACCGAGTGCACCGCACCGATGCGCGCGCATGCGAGGAAGGTCGCGACGGCGTGCCATGTCATGGGCAGGTAGACGGACACGGTGTCGCCCTTCTTGACGCCCCAGGACTTGAGCACGTTGGCGACGGAGCTGACCTCGCGGAGGAGCTCCGCGTAGGTAATCTCGCGGCCCTCATTGGGCTCGTCCGCCTCGTAGATGATTGCGGTCTGCACGCGGGGTGGGTCAGCGACGGTCCGGGCGTTACATGCTCGGAATGTCGGAATCGAAAAGGAAGATACTTAGGGATGGCGATCGGGGCACGCGAGATGGCGACGGAAGATGATTTCGCCTTCCGTCGTCCGCGCAGTATGACTGGCGCGCGCGACCCCAACCAGGGAGCGACGGTCTTCCCTTCCTGCACCAAAGCTGCGTCGCGTCGCTGCAGAAAGTAATGCCGCTGCCGTTCGGGGATGCATAGATGACGCAGCATGCGCCGAGCGGAAAGCAGGTTCCGGAATCACACACGGACCGCGCATTCCGGAGCGATGTACTTGCGCGAGCGACCGAGACGGGGTGAGCGCACGTACCTTGTCCGGGTGCTTGAAAGCCCATCGGTCGACGCAGTTGTAGGACGCGTTCAGACCGCCCTCGGGGAACCAGACGATGTCGCCGTTCTCGAAGCTTCCGGAGCGGACGGTGTGAAAGGGGCGGTCCCAGTGGAGGGTCTCTCTGGCGATCTGGGGAGGATCGACGGTGAGCGCGGCTTCGCGAAGGCGAGCAAAGAGACGCACCTTCGCCCACCACTTGTCGCTCTCGTGACCGAGGGACTCGGAGTGGAACTTCCTGCGAGAGGGGTCAGATGAACGGCCAAATGGGGGGAGCGGGCGAAAGCTCGGTACTTGTATGTGTCGTGATCGTTTATGTGGGGGACCTTGTGGCCGTTCTTGACACGGGGCGCGATGGGGTGCTTGGGGACGTTGTGGTGGGTGTCTTCGGCTGACATCGTGCTCGAGGCGGACGGAGAGGGACGTCGGGGGCGGGGAGGGATGGGAAGCTAGGGAGAGCAGGCTCGCATTCGCGCGGGGGGCTGATATACGCGGTCCATTCCAGGAGCGCGTGATCGCCTTAGATCATGTCCATTTCCTTTCGTATGCCCCTGAATTCGGTCTTCGGGTCTCGCTCGCGCGTCTCTGCCCCGCAATCGTCCCCGCACCGCTGCCCTGAATGGCTTAGACTTTGCCCACTGACCGTCTGTGACCATCCGTGGCCCGCCCTATCCACGTCCTGCGTGGCGTGTCTCCCGGACCAGACGAGGGCATGACGAGCAACTCACCCAGAAGGCGCCTTACGTGGAGCTGCCAGTACTCGTGCGCAGATAGTTGCAGCTGTGGCCAGAGGTGGTAGAGCGGTCCCGCAACGCTCCCAGCAGGACGAGCGTCTGACGTACCCGCGCGCCCAATCAGGTGTTTCACACAAGCGTGCCTTCCCTCCAGTCTCGAACGTTTCCTGCAACAAACTAAGTATGTACATCGCCTCACACTCATGCCATCAGATAGCCCTGCGAGTCTGTCTGGAACATATGCATCATCGACGGTCGTGCTCGCTTGGCTTCTCCCCGCCGTCCGAGTACACCGTACCACTGACACCCGACGCCCGTCTGTCAGACGGGGGACCGTACAAACCCGGGACATGCCACTCGCTGCGGAACGGCGTCGGCATCCACGCGCTATGTACACAGCAACCCCCCGCACTACCCCGCTACCCCGCAGCCTCGAGGCTCGCCGACTTCGATCACCTCCTCGGTAGTCCTATTCCGTACGAACCCCATATGTTTGTACTCATGGTGCAATCGTCGCTCTAGACATCCTGAGCAGGGGCTCCGATTGAAAGCCTCGGTCATGTACGTCAGTCCACGCGTCTGGCTTCTGCTTCAAGCTCCTTCCCCGCATTTCCCCTATCCAGTTCACGCGGCCCGATGATCCATGCTCCGGCCCGCGAGGGGACTGCCGCATTCTTACCCCTGCGCGCATATCCGACACCGTCGGATGGTACATAGTGCGTTACTCGTCTCTTCGGTCCTCTAGGCATCGTACGTTACGCCATCCTCTTGGACGTGTGGTAGAGCGCTTGGCGAGTCTTGCAAGATTGCGCTTCGAAGCAAGCACAATCCCGACGTCCGCGTTCTGTTCGTCCGACACTCAGGGTCCTTCCGGCTCGGGATGCGGGAAAGCGCGAACGTTTCCTATCAAATTGCGAAAGCTGTGGCCAGCGCTGGCAGCGACAGATAGCTGCACTCCCGGTAAGCATTCGGAATTGTCGTTCTCACTTAGCGCTGCGGGGGCTGCGGGGATAGGAGACGGGCATCGCAGGTTGTGAGATCGCTCACACCGTCTACGCTATTGCAGACCACATACGGTACTCACAATCCAGCCACTGTTCGCTTCGATGCAAGGTTCGTGCTCGCGTCCACGTTAGGGCGTGCGTGAACATTTTCTTGGACTGCTTCGATGGGTACCTGGCAGCTTGGGATCGCTTCTGTCGCCTTGACATGCGCCCACAGGGTCCACTTCCTTGAACGTCTGTGCGGGTTGTCCTGCATTGTCCCCGCTATCTTGGACTCCAATGCCTATTCATCTATTTCAAGAAACTTGTGCAGCATGGCGGCATTTAACGGAGTTTTGAGGTGACCTTGTTTCATTGCCTTCATACAGTGACCGCATAAAATAGCGCACCACGTGCGATAAGCGCCCGAAGGAGGCGACAGAATTGCGGCTCTCCTGCGTTACCGAGGCCACAGGGTGGCACAAGAATTGGGAGATGGGTAGATAGAAAGCTGAAGGTCGTAGATATGTAGGGTGGTAGTATCAGCGTGATTGCTTGGGGAGGTATAGTGATAGGAAGTGCGCAGAGTCTGTTTTTGGGGGCAAAATGAGGGCAGAACTATGGAATCATACCATTGCATCGGGCTAGGGCGGAATTGACATATAATAAACTAGGAATGATAGGCTACATATCACATGAGTATAATGGTCTTCCGCTGGGAAGCACGATAGGGAGAGCCGTGGTATTCAGACGCTCAGAATGTTCTTCAAGTACCCTGATGACAGAGTTGCATATCGCTCAGCCACATCACAATGTGCTACCATCAATATCACTATATGTGAAGTACTTAGAAACCTCTATGCATATCTGCTAAATAGATCTCTCCTTACTCAAGTCTGTTTGCAATGTGAGGGAAGGTTCCAATCGCTCATTTTAGCGCTGATTATATTGTTGGGTTCCCACCCTTCTCGGCCAGTGCCATGTTGACCCAAGCTTATAGGTGCCTATGCATTTTG